TACCTTACTATACACACAGAATATCAAATAAGACTAAGCACGCCACTTCTTGACTGGGAACAACACTACGTGCGCATGCGGATATTAACATGACGTTAGAAAATATATTCACAAATAGGTAAGCGTGAGCCTATGTGATGTAATGTTTACTTGCACTGGATACATGAGGGAGTTACAAATTAATCAACAACGTGTACGCGTGTGAGTGTGGTATGGTAGTTGCTCTAAATTTGATTTTTTTTATCTGTAAAGATCTGGTGGAAAAATAAGGTACCGTATTTAATGCGCATCGTTTTTGGCCAAATGTAGTATTCAAAATTAGGGTGCGCATTAGATTCGATGGCGCATTAGATTCGAGTGCAAAGTTTGCCGATGACGTCAACCAAATTTAAATCGTAACAAAGGATTACTGTATTTCTCGACTACATTTACCGTTACATTTATCGTTGACACATTATTGCATAGAGGATACAAACTGCAGAGTACGTAGTCAAGAAATGGAGGGCAAATAGAGAAGAATGTCATATGACGCTACTTTCAAACGTAAAGTAGTTCTTTATGCTGAAAAAAATGGCAATAGAAAGGCAGGGAGAGAGTTCAACGTAGCTGAGAGCAATGTTCGCTTGTGGCGGCAACAGAAATTGGCACTGTTTGCAACTAAAGCTAGTAGAAAGAAATTCACTGGCCTTCGCAAAGGAAGAAACCCTAAAATTGAAGAAAACGTTTTGGAATTTGTACGTGAAAGGAGGGAGAATGGACAACCTGTGACTAGTGACACCATAAAAAATAAAGCAAAAGAAGAGGCTGAGGTTCTTGGAATACCGAAACAAGAGTTTAAGGCTAGTCGTGGATGTGTGGATCGGTTTATGAAGCGGATGGGCTTATTTCTAAGACGCAGTACAACAATATGTCAAAAGCTTCCTGCAGATTTTGAGGGAAAACTACTAACATTTCAGCGGTATGTCATCACACTTCGGAAGGAAAAGAACTTTTCAATGGGGCAAATTGGGAACGCTGGCGAGACGCCAATTTGGTTTGATATGCTCGTAACTACACCATTACGAAGAGGGGGACTAATGAAGTTATCATCAAAACTTCGGGATGTGAAAAACAACGCGTAACAGTGATGCTGGCAATAACAGCAGACGGGTGCAAACTTCCCCTTCCTTAATCTTCAAACGGAAAACATCCCTAAAACCCCTAAGAATGAAAAGCTGTTCCCAGATGATTTCCTGATTCGAAACCAAGAGAAGGGGTGGATGATGGAATCATTAATGCTTAATTGGCTTCGAAATGTATGGGAACGCCGTTCCGGTGGGCTCTCCAATCCACCATCAATGTTTTGTCTGGACGCAGTTCGTGGTCATCTTACCGACGACGTAAAAAAGAAGATGCAGCCTAGGCAGTGATCTTGTTTTAATTCCTGGAGGGATGACGTCTGTGTTACAACCCCTGGACGTTATTATAAATAAACCTTTTAATGGGTACGTTCAGGCGGAGTACAAAAAATGGTTTTGTGAGCCAAACCGTGAATTGAACCTGACAGGAAAAATAAGCGTGCTGCACCGCACATTGTTGCACACTGGGTTTCTGCTGCCTGGAAAAACATCGAAGCACCAATGATTATGAAATATTTCAAGAAATGCTGCATTTCAAATTCATCGAATGGCAGGGAAGATGACGTGCTCTGGAACGCCGAGGATGACGATGATGAGGATGAGGAAAGAAGAAATGAATCTGCTTCTGACGAAGAGAGCTGCGAGGATTCCAGTGATGAAAACATTAATGAATAAAGACGTTTACTATTAATCACTGATTCTAGAAACTGTTAGCTAGATAGAAATATTACGATTTATTTCATGTTCATATTTTACTATAGATACCGTATATAAGGTAGTGGTAATTAACAATGATTGTTTCACATAACTATAGCCCACTAATAGGTTAATTCTATGTTCTGCTACTTTACGTATAAATCCATTGTTGTATAAAATATGGTGTCTAAATTTAAATAAAATTATCATACCATTGATTGATAGTTTATATGCAAATCCATTGTTGTATAAAATAAGATTCAATAAATTCCTCATACCATTGATGCGCATTACATTCGCCGACAAACAGTTTTTTTATTATTTAAAGTTTTAAAATGGGGATGCGCATTAGATTCGATGGCGCATTAGATTCGCATAAATACGGTATTTCTTTTTATTATTTGTTTGTGTTAAGTTATAATACATTAAATAGTATTGTAATAATAAATGTATTAAAATTTGTTCTTAAACGTTTAGATAAGAATGTCTAAAAGAAGAATCTAAAGTTAAAAAACGTACTTGTAAGACAAGTTTGCAGATTATTTAAAATGGAATGGCTTTCAGTTTTAGTAGAAACTACAGATATAAAAAGAAACCGAAAAAATAAATGAATTCTTTTCCTGTGGAACTGGAAAGGTCTTTGTACAGAAGCAAAATCTCTGGGAGAATTCAGTATGGAAAAAAAAGGTGCCATTTATTTAAGTTATTTGAAATGGCATTTATATAATTCAAAACTCACTTAGAAAAGAGGTTAAAAATTTCAGAACCTTCAAAAGAGTTGTAATTTTAAAAATATTTATATGTGTAACATTGCAATTTGTATCTTCCACCTTTGTATCAGTTTGTACCTCTATTTAAAAAGGGGAAACAGGAATGTACGAAATCAGATTATGATTAGATCAGATTATAATTTCGTGAAGCTTCAAACTGAAAACATATTATTGGAAATAAAAATTAGTGCCTCAATTAATTTCGTTCTTGACATACATCAACGCATCTAAAAGTTTATTAAATTACCTCGAAATTGGGGAAGCAAAAATTATGCTTTTGAATTTGTTAAATGCGCGAACTCTACGCATAAAAGAAAAAAGAAAAAGAAAGGTATTTAATGAAATGAGGGAAACCTAGTTTACGTATTCTTTCTGTAGATGAAAGCATTGATAATTCTATATTAAAGTGCTAATATCATGTTCATTGTAAAACTGCATACAAAGACTGCATTTGGAGGAATAGTGAAACTGAAAAACTGTGAAACAGATTTATGAAGTAAATAATTTAGATATTCAAAAAATGGTAACGTTTATGAGGGCTGTAGACAGTGTTATGCTAGGGAAAAAAATGGAGTAGTAGCAATTATCACAAGAGAAATATAACATTTAACTGAACAGCGATGGGTAGCACATAAATAAAATTTAGGATTATGATGCATGGAAAACTATATCTAGTATGCAGGATATAAAAAATTTGCATAGAACTGTGTACACAATGTTTCACCGATCTAGCGTTAAAGAGAAAAATTTTGAAGACTTAGCTCAAGTGTCATGGCGTGATGTAATATTATTTAAACCATCAAATTAAGTTAGATGGTTAATCAGGTATTTCAGCAAAAAACTGAAGTACATTAATTGCGCATTATAAAAGTCAGACAATACCCCATTCGTAAATATTATGAAAAATAATTAACAGATTCACAATGTCGTGTAGCAGTACTTCCTCTGAAAGATGTATTAGACGAGCTAACATACTTGGGCAAAATATCTATAAAAAGCGATTTAACAATTATTTAATGCTCATCGTTAAATAAAAATAAAGATTAACAAACTAAAAATTCAATATCTAAAACAAGAAATCTTTTGGGGTGATGCTGTAAGAGAAATATTATCGAAACTTCAAAATGATATTGATACATCAGTTATGATTGGTTTTATTGAACATATTTGTTTGCACTTACTGAGCAGATTGCCAAATGAAAAATTAAAAGACTGGCAAGCATTTGATAATGTAATTATCCTAAATTCAAGAAACAACTTTTATTTTAGAAAGCAAAATATAATACATCTTTCGAAAACAATAATTAGAATTCATGGCGAATAAAAATGTTGATATAAATAAAATATGGAGCGAATATTCAGAATTGAACTTAACAGTTTTAGAGGAAACTAAACAGGATTGTTCACGACTTTCAGAGATAAAATAATTTTTGTCCAAACTAACCTTGAATTTTCTAACAGTTCTAGAGGAAACTAAACTAGGATTGTTCACAACTTTCAGAGATACAACTAACCTTTATTCAAACCAGCCTTGATTTTTCTAGCCTTTTTCTTTTCTATATAATATTATCGAAACTTTTCAAGCATTCAGCGCAGACTGCGACCGTGGATTTTTTGTTATGAATTGCATAAAACTAATGTACTGAAACAAACTCGAAAATGAACACGTGAGTGAGCTTCTGAGAATTAAATTACATTTATCTAATGGTCAAGACATAAAATGCGAATGAAGTTTACAAAGAATAGATTACTATTAAAGATAAAAGTCAAAAAGTTAAAGAAATGCTAATTTAAAATAAAACACAGCTACCTAATGTTTTTGATTAAACGTGTATACATATATGAATGTAATATATAAATAAAACATATGTATATAATAAAAATTTAAAATTTTGACAAACTGATTTTTTTTTTGTATAATTCTTCAGCTACCAATTGATACAATACAATATACGTGTGGCTACAACTGATATACTCGCAGCTCTGAAAAAGATCAGAGGAAACTTTGCGTGTACGTGAGCTATAATTTATTTTTTCTGCTATTTTAACCTGTTATTAACAAATCCTACTTAACATATTTTTCGTCTGTTTTTATGATTATCCTTTGAATTCGCACACTCAATTCACATTATAGTCTTTATACATTTTTCTTTGTAATAATTAAGTGCGAAAAAAATTATTTCATTAGAATTTAGCGAAAAAAATTATTTCATTAGAAAAATATATCAAGCATATATCCACCTCTAAAATGTTTTTAATTTATATTTATTTTACTAAATTTAAATAGGTTTAGTTAAAATATCTTAATGTTATCTGCAAAATATATAGAGAAAATTCTAGAGATTTAACTATGCAATACCCCATTCGTTATGCCTATGGGAAGACAGGTTAAATAAGTATCAAGTGTTACATTTACCCGTTTGAGTCTTTTCAACACCTTCTGGATCTCTTGAAATGAGTGGCACTGCTTCGAACATCTTGATTAGCCAACTGAAGCTGTTGGAAATAGGTTATCTTTTTGAGAGCCCCTTAGAAAAGAACACCATCATTCGAACTTTCGATTGTAAGTCTGACGTCAAAACGTCTTTGGAATTTTCCATCATAATTAAGTATGTAAAAAAGAAGATTATATTTTCCTTATTACCTATCGTGCAAGATTTCAACAATTATGATTATTACTTTTTTCTGTAAGCGAAGAAAGTACTCTTCGTTAACAGTGGGAAGGAAAATTTTCTTGCTCCTGACGTAAATTTTATTCTGTTGTTGAAGCTGTTTGTGGTTGAACTTGTTTTTATCACAACTTCTTGCATTACGGTTAACTCTTTCTAAGAAAGAACTTTAATTTATCAGTCAATTCTCTTTTGTGCTGTTGACCTTTGAAATGACCAGTTTCCGTCATTTAATGTCGTTTTGGTTAACAACGCCTCAATTAAAGTCGTAATTAAAGCTGAATAAGTTAACGTCGTTCCATATGACCTCGTGTTTATAAATGTCATTTCGATTTACGTCTGTTCGGTTCGTAATGTCGTTTCAGTTAACTTCGCTTCGTTTTCTACCGCTTCCATTAAGCCGCTCCATTTAACTTATCTTTTTAACGTTGTTTCGGATAACGTTGTTCCGTCTAACGTTTAATGTTCTCCCAAATATTGTCCTCCGTTTAATGTCGTTTCGGTTATCCTCGGTTTAACTGCCGTCATTTTAAGTTAACGTAGTTCATGTCAACGTTGTTTCGTTGAATGTCGATTTGCGTTCTTTTGTTTCTGTACGAGAAGCTTGTCTTAATTAATATATTTATGCAAAATGTCCATACATCTATACAAATACATAGAGCTCTATATTATAAAGATCATTTAGTTTTAAACTAACCGGTTTTGTCTAGTCATTTATCTTTTCTATTTTCTCTCATTTCCATTTCCGGCCAAAATGATATATCAGTTTCACGTGATACGCAAACTACGGTATAAATATACTTTTATACTTGTGTCTCAGTTGTTTCAGACAGAGCGTGTTCTACTGTTCGGTCCCGTTTTTTCGTTGACTTAAGATTGCTATTTTACAGCAGTGCATTTTAATTGCCGGTTCGGTGGTAGGGCTAAGAGCCAACCCGCATTAATTATCTAGTGCTTCGGATGGTTATTAAACTTAGTTTAAATTTTATATTTCTATTTTGTGTTGAAGCCAAAAGTCTTGGCTCAGTCTGTAAGCACCAGGAGGGCCGTCTTCTTGAGTTGAATAAAAGGGTCTTTTCACTCTTCCTACGTCTTGTCATTGATAAAGTTTGAACTTAGCTAATATTCGCTTCACAGTTCAAGTAAAAATCTAGTCAGCAAAGTAAATTTAATTTACCTTGAATATTACAATACATTTGTATGCTATGCACCTGTTCTTCGCAGCAGGAAATACAAAAAGCCAGCTTTGCTTTCGCTAGGATTCTTATTGTTAGTTGCACGCGCTACCAGTTACGACACGAGAGTTCGCACCGGGAATAGTGATGAGGTGGCAGCAAGCACTAATCAAATATACACCACATGTTTTTAACTAAAATGTTGGTTAAATTTTTGTTTGAATTTTCTATTTTAGGGAAATATGTGTTGCGTCATAAATATCTGTTAAAATGCTAAATTAAGCAAAGGTCATGAAATGGTGGCTGTAAGAAATTACTGTTAAACCTCAATGTGCATGGTGGAAAAAGGTGATATAGTGAAACATTAAAATTTAAAAATAAAAAAAATGAAAGAAATATGTTCAAAATTTGGATAAAAACGAACAATTGTTTTTCCAAAATCTCATGATTTGAAGCTAGCAGCGTTCTGGCCGAGTCGTTTTTATACAGTTTTTGACTGGATGTAATGTTGTCTTGAATGCTGCAGATCATGTCGGGTCTGTGTTTAGTAAGACATCGCTTGATTCGAGTGAAATATTCATGTGCTAATTGAAAAACTTCTTCCATTACTAATTTGATGACAGTCGTTTAATAAAACTAGTTGATAAGTATTTTGCTTCTCCTTGTCTGTTGATGGAAGCAAAGAAAGTATGACTACAAGTTGTTTCCAATGTCTGCAAATTATTTAAATGAACCAAAGAGTGAAATAAAAACGCTATTTCATTTCCTCCTACTTTAATTATTGACTCAACTCGTCAGAATATTTCAGTGATGATTATTGAAGAATTCAATAAATGAAATATACCTAGATTAGTCTATGTTTCGTTCTATGCAGATAATGCGCCTGTTATGACTGCTCATCGAAAAGAGCTTAAAGCCGTTTGAGATGGACGGATTACAACAGTTCTGTTTCCAACTGAGCCTTAGATTCAATAGTTTTGTTCCCATCTGAGCCCTCCTGAGAAATAGCCTCTCATTTGTATTATAGTCTGTGTTTTTACATCCCCTTATATATATATATATAACAAAGTAAAATCAGTGCTTTCATAACAATTTTTATCGTGATTTATCTTGTTGGGATATTATTATGTATGAAATCAATATTGTATAAATATTTTGATTTCAGTTTTATTTTGTATTATTTTAATGTAAGCTTTTAACCTTATTTTACACATTTCCAACATATGCCACAAGACAGCTTATTATCGCTTTGCTAAAATTTTAGCAAAGCGATAATATTTTGTAATGATTTTAAAGCTATAAAATAATTTTGTAATTATTAAAAAAATTAACTTTTTTAAAATTAACTTTTTTTAAAAATTAATTATTATTTATTAATTAACTTTTTTAAAAAATTAATTATCGAGATTTGAAAATATTTTCATATTAGATGTCCACACTAAGTTCTCTGTAAAAGGCTGCTTTAAAACAATTTTGAACAGATGCTCTTACCAGTGTACATTACTTTGAAACAAATCCATTGTATAACTGCATAAATAGAATTTTTTAAATTAGAGATAATTCGGCTTAGGAATAATTAATACATGGTTTAATTTAACAGTCATATACATTGAATTTTCTATTCCTATGTTATTTCAAGTATGTTCAATTTAAGATTAAAATAAAAACAGAATCTGATAAGACCAGCATTTGATCTACCGCTAGTTGAATATTAGACATCAAACTGGCCGAACAGCAACGAGCTACAGTAAACTATGATTTCATCTTATACGTTTTTAAATAAAATCTGATTTGTTTATAACTTTATGGTTCAATGTTAATTATAAACACTATTCAATTTTTATTATTCTGGTCTCCCATACAATAGAAAACGATAACTATATATAGTCATTTACACAACATTTCTCATACTTTCATTTGAAAATATCGCATTGATCGTGGTATATCCTCTGATCATATAATGTTACCGAATCATAAATGAATAACTTAACATTTACAAAATTTTGTTTTACAACAAAATAAAACAGAAAATGTAAATAATATAACGAATATAAAAAGAAAAGGGAATCCTAAGCATATGCTACTTATAAAAATTTTGTAAATGTTAAGTTATTCATTTATGATTCGGTAACATTATATGATCAGAGGATATACCACGATCAATGCGATATTTTCAAATGAAAGTATGAGAAATGTTGTGTAAATGACTATATATAGTTATCGTTTTCTATTGTATGGGAGACCAGAATAATAAAAATTGAATAGTGTTTATAATTAACATTGAACCATAAAGTTTATAAACAAATCAGATTTTATTTAAAAACGTATAAGATGAAATCATAGTTTACTGTAGCTCGTTGCTGTTCGGCCAGTTTGCTGTTTTGTTTTATTTTGTTTCTGTTATTTCTGTTGTTGAATATTAGACATCAAACTGGCCGAACAGCAACGAGCTACAGTAAACTATGATTTCATCTTATACGTTTTTAAATAAAATCTGATTTGTTTATAAACTTTATGGTTCAATGTTAATTATAAACACTATTCAATTTTTATTATTCTGGTCTCCCATACAATAGAAAACGATAACTATATATAGTCATTTACACAACATTTCTCATACTTTCATTTGAAAATATCGCATTGATCGTGGTATATCCTCTGATCATATAATGTTACCGAATCATAAATGAATAACTTAACATTTACAAAATTTTTATAAGTAGCATATGCTTAGGATTCCCTTTTCTTTTTATATTCGTTATATTATTTACATTTTCTGTTTTATTTTTTAAAAATATTACACAGTGATAACATCTGGTGGCAGCATCTTTTCATTTGAAAAGTGATTAGACATCAAAGTGATTAGACATCAAAGCATTTTGTGAAGGGCAGTAATGTGAAGGGCAATAATTTTGGATTAACAAGAGTCTCCACATAAGAAAAGATCAATTTCATGTAAATGGATTTTGTGACAAAAAGGAGCGGGCTGGTTGCATGGGCGTTTTCATGGTTTTTCCCCATGTGTAACATGGATATGAGCCAGTTTCCCTTAAAATTAGCAGGAAGGATCTGAATACCTATTCACGTGCTATTAGATGCCTATCCTGCATCTTATTCTTGTGGTTATACTTCAATAAATTTTAAACGTATTTGTCTTAGATGTTAAAATTTCTTTCTTAAATGGTAATTTGAAAGAAGTTATTTACATTGTCAATCTAAATGTTGCAGTAATAGAAAATGTAGGTAATTTAAATAGTAGTAATAAAAATGTCGACTTTAAATATGTAGACGGATTGAAACAGGCATCACGGACAATAGTATGATAAATTTCTCTTAATTCAGACGATCAAATCGCGAAACAGGCATTCTTATCAATCTTCAAAGAGCGCTTCTTAATATAGCTATATAGATAATTATAGCTTTTAACGTAGATGACTTATTTATTTCTGGATCAAATGCTCATGAACTTAATGAACTAAATTTAAAATGTTGAAGTTTGTAAAAAAAAAATCTCCGAATTTCTAGGAATTTGAATATAGTTTACGCAAAATGAATCATTTTTAAATCAAAGGTTTTGCATCTTGTGATTACTGATCAAGTTCAGAATGCTCTATTGCAAAGCGTGTTCTTCTCCATCTGAATTTAATTCTACGTTTGTTTATTTTGAAAATTGATCTACGTGTTAAAAACTTTATCGAGAACTTGTTAGTTCTTTACTATATCTTGTTGGTTGATCTGGTCGAATCATGCGAGCGTTACTCAACCGGTTATTTTGTTATGCGGTTAATTGTTTAAAAGTTAGTTACAAGAAACCCCACCTGACCCTGTATAGTATACGCTTAGAGGAATACTTCACTGTCTAAATCTAACATCTAAATCTGCATCATTTCTAAACATCTAAATTTAAATTAATTTGCTCAAAATTTAATAAGATTTCTCATTTGACTATGTATGTAGATGCAAACTGGGGGTGATCCTAATGATATTAAATCTATATTCCTGATTATGTAATTGTATGAAGTGATTGTCTTGTATTCCGGTGTTGTAAAAAAGCAAAATTTTATAGCTTTATCACCAAAGAAAGCTGAGATGACTTGTTTATTTCTGGATTGCCTTAGGAAAGATCTACTTTAGCTAAAACATGTAATTTGGAAAGTTGTTGGTATCTGTATACTATATGAAAGGCAAAATCTGTCTGTGTGTGTGTGCTTTCGTTCATGCTTGCGCGTAAGCTAATAGACCCAGGGCTATTAAATTTGTTGCATAGGTGCATCTAGACAACAGCCAGTGGACCTCAAAGCGATTGTTCCAAAATTCGAATGAGTTTTTTTATTTTATGTTTTTTGATGAAATCGCATCAAATCTATAATTCAGTAGCCACTGTTGCCATTGTTGCTGATATCAGCACTGTTGCCACTCGGAAAAACGAGGGCGATAATTCTGTGCAGTTTTTAAATTTAATGTTTCTCTTGGATAATGGACGTTTGTCGAGAGAAGGCAACGGGAAGTTGGTTAATTTATTTATCAGGATAATTAATATTTGTATTATGGGATATTGCTTATTTCATTGTAATTTTTTCATATGTAATACATTTTTATTGATTTTTTTTTTTTTTGATAAAGTTGTTCTGCAGAGTAAAAATTTGTGCAGTTTTTTAATTTGATGTTTGGTGCTCCCTTTAGGCATTTTTCTGGTACATTTAAAAGCCAGGCGAAGGCTGGCCGCGTAGCGGCTGGTTAAGAACATTACAGTGTTTGAAAGTAACCAATGAAGTATAACGTGCATATTTAATGAGAATAATTCAGGTAGAATAGGTTGAAACATACAGACATTAAATTGAAATTTGTTCATGATACTAAGGCACTTAATATCAAAATTGAGTTTATTTGTTCTAATGCACAAACTGCTGAGTTGTTAATTAAATGTTTACCGAAGTGTTAACTGAACGAATATTTACCTTTTGTGTGGTTTAAAGTTGTAGAGTCATTAGGTTATTTTGAAGCAGGAGACGTGAAAAATGAGCAGTGCCCTCTTTCCAGACCTAAACCTCTCGAATACACGCCAAATGTGCTACCGTTACACTACGAAAGCATGTAGAAAGGAGGAAGAAAATACCTTACATACTCCCCCCTTTTTTAAAAGCCGACTGGGGATTAGGAGACCCAAATGCCAAATCCTGGTGGTGAAGAATCATCATCCACCATCTTTCAGTTCGGAAGCCGCCGTAGAGTCATTAGGTTATTTTGAAGCAGAAGACGGGTAAGCAATATCCTCGCCGGGCCTGGAACCTGAACTTCTCGAATACGCGCTGAGTGTGCTACCATCATACCACGTAGGCATGCAGATAGGAGAGAGTAAAGTAAAATATTAAACATGTGTAGCTTATCCATAGGTCTGCAAAACTTTACCGAGACTGTGAATGGTAGATTCTATGAGCTCTACTTAAATCAATAATTGTGCAGTTAGTCCAATTTAATCTCGAGAAAGATCTTAGTAATTGTCTTATAGCAGTAATTGGTATTGGCTGCATTTTATTTGCTTTCTACTTCATTGTTATCTAGTTCTTTGTGTTGTATCTTTTCCTTATGCGTTTAAACAAACATTATTCTGACCAACAGAAACAGAATTAATTTATTTCTTAACAAAAATATTGCGCCTTTCAGTGATGATTTTCTATATTAAGTTAATCTGTTTTAAATTTAGTTACATTAATAATTATATAAAACTTCCTAATAATAGGGTAGATTTGTAAGTAGAATTTAATATAGCGTTAGAAATTGAAAGATAAATTAAGTTACGAAAAAAAGTAAAAAAAAAAAAAACTTATAAAAATTATTTTTTGAATTGACAGTAAGTAACATATCTTATTGTTGATAAACCTACTCTGGTAAGAAGGTAAAAAGTTATATCTTGAGGTTGTAAAATTTTGCTTCCAAAGAAGAATGCAGATATACTATATAAGGTTAACTGACTCTCAGACGCCAAGTATTAAAAAAATTTAAACTTTGTGTTTTCGAAGCAGGAGTTTTACCTTTGTTTTGGTTATACTCTTTGAATTTATTGATTGTAGAAATATGAACAACGCACGTTTGAAACTACTGAGCTGTATTGCATTGTTTCGTAAACATGTAAAATACATTGCACAAAATATGTATAAAAACACAATCAATGAACTAGTGTCACAAATTAAAACCTAAATTTCAATTCTAAAATTTAAGATTATTCTTCAATAATAGAGCATTTGTCCTCTGAATTTCCGATGTTCTGGTTCTCATCTTTTGCGTTAGTTTCAAAATCTTCTTTCTTTTCAAGAGACTTAATCTGAGAATCTTCTTTGAGTGTTATAGTCATCGAGAAACAGAAATCCGCAGCTTCTTCCCGTAAAGTCATAAAGAATACAACGAAAGCTAAAAGGAGTGACCATTCACAGACGGAGCTGACAAGGTAAGACATGTTATACTAAAAAGAAAAGTAAAAATATGTTATATATATTTATATTTGTAGTCTTTTCCTTATTCTATATCTTGTTATATATTTATACATATAAATGCAACAAAATAAAATAAAATCATATACATGATGTACATTTCTCTTCTGTACTACTTCAGACACTATGCAAAATAGGATGATTAAGTAAATTTAGTCGTATATATGTGTTTCCCTTCGTTAGGTTGCATAAAGACTTATCGTAATCGTATACCAATGCAGGGTCAGAAACGCCATATTCATGAATTCGTTATCTATCAAATATGACATTAGTAAACTGGACTTGGTGGTTCAGTTATTGGCCTTTAAAATACTCGGACTTAACATACCTACATTTCTCCTTTTAGGATTTATATCAAAGAACCTATGTAAGACTCTCCCATTAAAATTAATATGATCTTTGTAGCACACATTTCTGCAGTTGCTTGGGAAACACAAGACAAGCTAGGAACATTCCAAAATGTACGTGATTCCATTGCGCTTACGGTAGCAAGTGTATGTTGCAGTTCATAGTTGCTTTTTCGAACCCCTTTACAATACGAGTGAATTTCGCAAATGCCTTTTGAATAATAAAAAGCATTTTGTTCTCTTAAGTGCCGCTCTTTCGTCCTCATCCTAGTCGCAACATTTCTTTTTAGTGGAGATTTCGTTTTAGTAAACCCGGTAAACATACCATAAATTCTACTACTTTGAAAATATTTTAAGCATTTTTGAAGATCTTAGGTAAAAACAGTAATTTATTTCTAGTGCTTAACATTTTAGAGTTCTGGTCTTGTTTTTTACTATTGAAAAAAATTTGTTGAATTGACCTTTCGTCTAGCAGTTCACCTATATTTAGAGAATATGCATATTCATACTGACGAAATTTGCCTTCACTTTTAAATCATAACAGAAATAAAACAACAGAAATTAAAAATATCGAATTAATTTTTCTGCTTCTTTAATATTTTATTCCCGAAACTGCAATAATGGCGTCTTAGAACAAACTCATGTTCTGAACAAATAAACTGGAAGGACAATTAAGTTCGTTTAAAAATCCCGAACGTTTTCATTCCTGGGCGCAGCCCCAAATGTAATTATAAATCCTAAACTGTCCAAGCTAATTCCGGATATTATAACATATACACTCTCATATAAATACTAGTTTTTTAAAAGGTTATTTTAGTGGTGGTGCCATCTATGGTTGAGTGTAGGTACCTGACTGGACATGAGCACTTTCTTTCTGTTTGAATAACGTATCCAAATCTGTGGTATGATTATTCAAATATTTGAAATAGGAAAAAATAAATCCGAAATGTTTTTAATGCTGAGCGTACATTAGGAGTTATTTTAGCGTAGATTAGAAGTTTAATACATTGCTCTCTACATATTAGAAATGTAACTTATTATTTTATAAATTTGTTGAGATAGTTAAATTATGTAAAAAAAAAAAAAAAAAAAAAAACTGAAAGCTCTCAGATTTTACATTACGCCTAAAGGCACGTTTTATGTGTTATCTTTAATTATTAAATATCTTGTTCTTCGCATTTAAACCATAAAATTCAATTCAACAGCAATATCGCAAAATAATTTTAAAATGAGCATATCTTTAGTATTTCCGATACAGAGACTCGCGCGTTGGAGATAACAATGTTTTTTTTTTTTTTTTTTTTTTTCGTACAGTGTTGCCATTCCTCGCCTTGAAATCGTTGAGTTTGTTAATCAAAAATTCTTTAATGTCTGACAAAATATGAAATAGATAATAAAACAAATTTCAAATTAGGGACCATAATCGGTGAAGGATTACGTTATTCAAAATTTGATGGCTGTAGTTACCGTTGTTTTATCACAATGCGAGAAACATATATATATGCGGATTCTTCATTATTTAATTTCTTTAAATATAATACAAGGCTGTAATATTTGCTGGCAACCGTTTGAAAAGGGAACCGACATTTACAGTTCATCAACACAAAATTAATAACCCTTCTGGGCTAACAATTAAAATTAAAACCTTTATTTAAAATAGTAAAACTTTATGTAATATTTAAATATTTGTGATATAAGTTAGTTGAATAACCCTTCTGAATTTTAAAAATATATTTTAAAATTGCTTTTTACTATTTATATCAACCTTGTTCAGCGTGTTAATTCTACGTTAACATAACTAACTACGTTAACATACTAATTTTTATGCGAGGAATACAGAATGTGTATATACACTGATGAGCCAAAACATTATGACCATCCCCATATTTTTTAATGAACTCGTCTGGATGGCGTGGAGGGTATGTGATTAAGTGTGTATGGTATTAAACTACTGCTGGAGAAGGTAAGGAATCATTTTTTCATTTACTTTTGCGTGTGATAGGAAAGGCTACTGATTTAAGCGAATATGATTGAGGGCAGATTGAAATGGCCCGAAGTTTCTGAAGGAGTATTTCCGACACTGCACAACTGGTAGATTGTTCATGATGTGCAGTTGTTAGCATTTATTCAAAGTGGATAAATGACTGTGAAGCCAGCAGTAGACGCCAAGATGTTGGGCGTCCATGTGTCATCAAGGAAAAAAGGATGTCAGAGACTCTGCCGCTTGGTACAGCTAAATCGGCGCCAGTGGCTCAGCTGTCAGTCCAGTGCAATGCAAGTCCAACGGCAAGTGTTTCGGAACACATAGTTCAGCAGACACTGTTGGAGGACTGCGCAGCAGACGTCCCACTTGTGTGCTTCTGTTTACCAAGCATCATTGTCATCATTCAGTGGGCTCCAGAACATCAAAACTGGGCCATGGATAAGTGAAAATCATTTGTCTGGTCGGATGAATCAAGATTTCTCATTTATCACGTCGATGGTCGTGTCAGGATACGCTGTCTTCCAGACGAATAGTTGCTCCCTCCTGTACAACAGGTCATATACAATCTGGTGGTGGTGGTATTATGATTTGCAGGACGTTCTCATGAGCAATTACGAGACCCTTAGTTCTGGTAAAATAGACCATGAAAGCTTCAGATTATTTAAGCATGTTTGCTGATCAGCTGCACCCTCCCATGGCGTCTGTCTTCCCGACTGGAAATGGAGTTTTCCAGCAGCACAACGTCCCTTATCAGAAGGCTCGGATTGTGTTGGAGTGGTTCAAGGAGCATAAGGATGAATTCCAGTTAATGTCCTAGCCACCTAACTCACCGAATCGTAAACCAATAGAGCACATTTGGGATATCATGGAGCGGCAGGCTCAAACACCATCATGTCGGAATATCACAACTTTGCGTGACCGTTGCTTAGACATTTGGTACAAACTGTCTACAGTCATCTACCAAGAACTTGTGGCATCCATGCCAAGGCATGTTGCAGCTGTTTTGCAGGCCAGAGTTAGCTGAATGCGTTATTTAGTAGGTGGTCATAATATTTAGGCTCTTCAGTATATAAATAAATAAAAAAGCACGAGAAATGAAAAAATTACATTCTAATTGGATAACTTTTATGAATACTTTTATTATGATGATTGAAGGCACCTGCATAAAGCCTGAATTTATCCTGAATAAAATTTTCCTGCATTTTGGCTCATAATATTATTTGATGTAAAGAGCTTCGTATAACTCAACCACCTTCACTCCTATAATGAAAACTTTAACACGCCTTTCGGCATACTGCGACAACAAAATATTCTTCAATACATTAATAATGAAAGTCAAAATTATGCTTTATGTATGTTATATACATATTACTGTTAATAAAATTATTCTTTGTTCACTACTAATTATTATTAGAATTTTTGTTAATATTTGTCTGTTTTTATTTACATTTATTGTGAGTTATTCACTTAATCTAAGTTATTTAATTAAAAGAAACTTGATTGAATTTAAAACTTGATTGAACTTTGAGTGATTTTATTCCATTCGCTTTCTAATTTTATTTTATATTTTTTATTTATTGAATATCTTATTTTTGGCTTAAATTTTATTACCTAGAGAACATTAGTGATTATAATTAAACAACTGAAAAGATTAGTGTCTTTGTACTTTCTTGTTCTTCTAAATGTACAAAGATTATCTATTTCTTCGCCTATTTTGGATCTGATTCCTGTGTTGGATTATTCCTTCTTGTCTAATTGTAATTAAGCTAATAATTAAAATTACTGATTCTAATTATTACACCAACTTCTTAATTTCCCAGCTTACTTATCAAGCAAAATCTGCTTATTGCGTATTTAACTTTTACATTCATTCTTTTGTTTGAAGTTACAGTAGTCTTCCACTTATGTCTAGATAAGAAATCCCAAAAGATTTTAGCGTCGCAACTATATAGCGATTGTTAAAATATTCAATTCTACAAATTCTTCTTAAGCTATTCCTGTGCGTAAAGATATGGAAGCTTTTGATGCTCTATATATCGGCAACATCTATACCAGCGGTTCTCAACCTTTTGATTAACGCGTACCACCTAAACAAAAATTGAAAACCTTTAGTACCACCACTACAAAGTACTACTTCCATCACCACTCTTGAACAAAGCTCAGATCGCATAAATTTGCGAGTGTTAGAGAAAAACTCAATCAGGATGTCGGGGTTTTAATTTTTGAATTTAATAGTTAAAAACACTTTGCTTCTTTGCGTACCACCTATTTTTCTCTTGCGTACCACCGGTTGAGAACCCCTGGCCTAGACCGATTTGTACAACATTTCACACGTATACTCCCAAGATAATAGATAAACTAAACATTGCCTCTGTGTAGTTACTTTAGTTACTTTGCCCAGTACTTTATTTATGGCAACTGTACCGAAACCCCTAAAAGTAGGTGTCTAGTTTGAAAATGCAGAAATTCCACGGGGCATTCCCCATTAATCCACATACGTGGTGGATGAGAAATTAAAAAAGAAACCTAGAAAGGTTTGTGGCAGCGCAACTAGCTGTTGTTGAGATATCTCCACTAGAAATTTTTCGCCATATTATTTCAACGAGGAAAAGTGTGGGGATATATTGACAGTTCAGAAATGGCAAGCTAAATAAAATCAGGGAAATCTATCATATAATGTAATATAAACTGGCGTTAGTAAATAATTAAGTTATAAGGATTTTCGGCAATATCTAATTAATCCATAAGGCCAGTTTTTGTTGTTTTATTTGATAGATTCTGTTGATGCATAATACTACTAGTCAGTAATATATATATTATAAAATAATATATATATATATATATGTAGATAAAAATATATGAATCAAAATTATAGTTTAAACTATAAACATTAATTCTTCCTCTCTATTCTAAAATCGTAATAACTTCTTTGCATTGCGTCATTTCTAGATCACTCTATGATCGGCGCAACTCTGATGACGTAATAATTAAGAACTGAAACTGTCCTTGTAAACCAAAACTTTTCTCTTCGCGTGCTTCCATCTTTCATAACTACGCACTTCAGCTTTTGCCCTCTACTCTGCTAAGATGTAATTTCGCTGGCTTGCTTTCTATCCCAACAATATCAAAAATGTAAATCTTCTGTGGAAAGGCACGACTAGAGTGCCAAGTGATTGTGGCCACAAATATCAATTGGAAATAAAAATGGAATTAAAACTGCCTCGACTGCCAAGTTCTTTAAATACTACACAATCAAAATTCTTCTTCAATATGGGTCTCATCACGCATCTACAGTGTATCCGTCTTTTCCTTTCCTTGTGCTCTTATTATGACAATTAAGCCGGTAGGATAGTTTCCTGCAGCCTGAAACCTCAATGGAAAATTTAGTTCAGCTCTTCAAATCATCGTTTTGTGATAAATCCAAGATAATGTGAAACAAGTGAATCATCAAATTTGTTTTTTCAGTGTTTAAAAAATAACAGATCATTCTTCTGCTGTGGTGCAAGTGCTTCAAAAAAAAAATAATAATAATAATCACGCGTAGTGTTTACAGATTGAAAGTGATCTCTCGATAAATTGAGAAGTTCGAATGCCTAGTGAAAAGGAAATTATCAGTGAATTACCGTTTAGGAATTAAGCATTACAGCGAGTTCAAGGTCGATCTGAGTTAGTGTTTGCAAGTATGTGCGACAGAAAATTATTTGCACTTCCGCTTTTTCAACAGCTCAAAAATTATTACATTCGTGTGAACCTAGCTCAGATGTGCTGCGAATTCTATAGTTTTCATTTCAACATTGGTTAAAATTTCTGCAATTTGTTTTGAGAAAATCTGAAATTCTTGTTCATTAATTTTTCTAATTTTTCATAATTATGTGTGAGCAAATTAAGTAACGAATTTTAAGCTATTTAAATTATTCATAGGGAAGGATATAAAGATAAGTTTTTATGTTTATGAAATTTTTTGAGAATTTTGAATACGAATTTTATAATTATTCTAAAAATGAAGTAGATGTTAAAAATAAGTGAAATTATTACAGATATATAATATGAAGTTATAGTAAATGCATGTTAAAATTTATGGGTTATTGTGTGTTAAGTATAGTATGATGAGGGTGTACTGGTTCTTTCAACAGAGGCCTGTAATTACCTCTGTACAGTTGTTCCTTTTACCCTCTTCATGCAAGATAATGTTGGAGGCTCTCATGTTATGAATGCATGTAAATTTTTTATATTATTATTATTATAATTCTATTTTTTTATTATGGAATGTATTAGTGCAGTTCTCAAAGGCCAGTTACCTTAATGCAAGGAACGGAGGTCTTTTCAAGTAACTGTCAAGGCACCCTAGGCCACCAGTGCATAGAACACACTGGTTAGCTCAAGAGGACAGCCCTATTGATGGATATGTTTGTTTAGAAGTATTGCGAGGCTTCCAGTTTGGTAAAATACAGGAATTGTAAATGAAAGATGATAACGGTGAAACCATAATTTCTGAAGCTTACTCCTATTATTATATGGTATTAAAATATAATTTATCAATATGAAAATTAATATCATAAATATTTATGTGCATTACATTTAATTATAAGTAATGATTATGTAAAAGTTTATTTTGTGATATTCTGCGATAACAAGAACTTTCCCTGAAGAATTATGATTATGTGAACTCTCAAACAAAAAGACTTTTGGACTGAAATGTCGAAAAATTCAATAGGACTCTAAAAATTAAGCATCTATTTTTAAAAAAAATGATATTTATAAATAATACTTTACAGGATCAAAATTTTATTATTTATTTATATTTTTTTAAATTTGCTTGTGCTTTAACTCTTTTTCTTTAAAAAGGCTTCTCTGTCGCTACGCCTTTTCTTTTTGAAGGGGGTAAAATTTGTAAGATAAAAATATATGAATCAAAATTATAGTTTAAACTATAAACATTAATTCTTCCTCTCTATTCTAAAATCGTAATAACTTCTTTGCATTGCGTCATTTCTAGATCACTCTATGATCGGCGCAACTCTGATGACGTAATAATTAAGAACTGAAACTGTCCTTGTAAACCAAAACTTTTCTCTTCGCGTGCTTCCATCTTTCATAACTACGCACTTCAGCTTTTGCCCTCTACTCTGCTAAGATGTAATTTCGCTGGCTTGCTTTCTATCCCAACAATATCAAAAATGTAAATCTTCTGTGGAAAGGCACGACTAGAGTGCCAAGTGATTGTGGCCACAAATATCAATTGGAAATAAAAATGGAATTAAAACTGCCTCGACTGCCAAGTTCTTTAAATACTACACAATCAAAATTCTTCTTCAATATGGGTCTCATCACGCATCTAAAGTGTATCCGTCTTTTCCTTTCCTTATGCTCTTATTATGACATATATATATATATATATCACAGATATCACAGAAGCTTGCAGTTTATTGTTTCATTTAAAATCTTTGCTTTCCATTATTTAAACAATCAAAGTCTATTATTATTTTTTGTTGTTGTTGTTGTTGTCCCTTTGTTACGCATAAATAGTTACAAAATATCAAAGAGATAAATGTAGCAGAAGTTTAAAACATACGATTTTATGATGAATGAGTCTTTATTTTCGTAGGAAGTAGCCGTAGTTTCTAGTTGGGAATGAAAGTTTAAAAAAAAATATGCAACTATAATAAGGAATTGAGTATCTATTTTCTGTTGGTAACATTGGTGTTTATTTATTTAAGTACTAAATATTTCGATTTTTCGACAATCCTAGTTTCGTGAAAGCAATGTCTAAAGTTCAGCGGAATTTTCTATCTGTGCAACTAGCAATTGTGCTTCAAATTTAGTTGCTATATTTAAAGTAAATTAGCTCTATTTCATCGGCTAAGGATCTAAAAGGTTTTAGTCCTTCATTTCATTTTGATTGCAGTTTAATTTAAAGGTCTGATGAATTGCAGTTTTATTTTAAAGGTCTGATGAATAGCAACCTCTGCTCCTATAAAAACCTAATTTCACATTTTTTTCTATAAATGGCCTTGAGAAATACGGTCTGATATTTACTATTTATGGATAACGAAAGAACAAAGTATCTGCAAAGTTTTCGTGATCATTTAAAACTATAAACTTCTGTACTTATTTTTACATGTAGGCCGATAGCTTCTCAGCTATTGGCGCAGTTTGAATATTTCACATGGAAATTTTAAGCAAAATTTTGTATTTCAGTGAACTATGAGAAAAATAAACCTAAAAATTTGTGTAAATCTAATAATGTGTTTTTTCTTATTTTGTGCTCTTTTATGTGCTTAGTAGTGTTATTGTTTTAATCTGCATGATCTATCAATCATCTAACTTGAATTTGCTTGTTTTGTTTGCAATAAAAATACTCCGTGTTGAAATCTTGACTAAATACCGAATTCTCATGCAGTCTATCAGAAATATTAAATCAAAAGCTTAAGTATCTTAGCACAAATCATATTTTACAAGATTTTACATTTCAATTGAATCGTTATAACAACCGCTGTATTGCAATGACAGGCCCAAAATGTCTTTAGATGATTAAGAATATAATAAATTCACTTTTAAAGTGTATTTACCTTTTATTATAACATTTTTTTTCTTTAGGATGTAAAGATTAGGTATAAAAAGGGTCAACTCTATTTTAATTCAACCTAATACAACTGTAATGATGTAAAACTAACACATGCACTTAATATTTCAGATATTGGAGTATATAGAAAACTGTAGCATTTTATACAATTTATACCTACATTGATGTTAGTTTCATAGAAACACTACGTATTTCAATGAAGATTGATACTAGATCTCTTTCTTCAAGAAGCAAACATATTAGACTTGTATATTTTTGAAGAATATGCTGGCTTTCTTGAAAATGCATAGTTTTCTATAAAACTAGCCTCAATCTAAGATTGAATTTTACTTCATTTTATATTTATTGCTAACTATGCAGAAATTAGAAGATGAAATAAATAACTTACTGGTACGTTATGAGGTCCAACAACACAATCTTTCAACCGATTTCCTTCATCTAATCCTTCCATGAATCCATCACGAACGGTATAACCTTCTACGAACGTTCATTAAGGATAAGTAATGATTGGTTGTACAACTAACTGTTCGTTTTTAAACGGTTTCATGGATATATACAAAAATATGTAAAATGAACTAAAAGTTAAAAATACTTTTGTATAAAATACTTCTTTCCATCACAATAAATATTTCACACAATCTATTTTAGGGCACATGATAAGATTTACAGATTTAAAGATCATTTACTTGCATATTTCAAAGCAGATATCTTATCAAAAATAATCTTAAAATATTCTGAGATGTAGTCAGTCATGTTCGTACAATACATATTTATTAATTGTTAAATTTTCCTTGATTTTTTAATGAACTGCTAAAGTTTCAGCTTTGTGTCATTTTTCCAAAGTATAATAACGCTATGTTAAGTTACGAAAGCATCAACAGTTTTATGCACTTGTTGGTAGCTAGCTTGCTAATGCCAAAAATAAGCACTTTAGATAGTAAGAGCCCGTCAACAATATTCACTTGTTAGTAATAATTTGTCAGTAACTTGCATGTTTTGTCAACAATATGCATTTGTTAATTTATAATATGTACATTTTAGTAAAACTAAGCGCTTGCTATTTGTCGATAATATGCTTTTATTAATTATGGTACGTTTTGATGGCAATAATTTTCGTTTGTATTTATGTCAGCAATACAATAAACAAAAGACGTATATACAGACACGGAATTTTTCTCTTCTCTACTTCTACACCAAGCATCGGCAACTGTCAGCCTGCGACTTTTATTAGTCTGGTCATTGATCTACTACAATAGTAACATTATAAATTATTTTGAAATGGGGCTCTATGTTTTAGATTTCTATTCCTTTCTTGTGGGTATTTATTTTAAATTACCACTTTACTTAAATAGCTTGGCAGGCACTCGGAATTGAAAGCTATAAAACTGAAATCTGAAATCAAAATTTAAGGGCGGGGCTTTAACAGGTTTCTATATTGTTGAATAAATTTTACTGGTTGGAGAAAAAGTTCTGGATTTCGCATGAAAAATAAGTATTATTTGTTCACCAATTCATACATGGGAAATGTTGTTTTCTATAAGATGAAGCACTACGAGTAGTAAACGCGTACAAGGATAATTGAAGAATAGTATCAAGTTTTCTCTAATTGATGTACCAACAACCTAATTTACAATGCTGAGAACTTAAATGCACTCTAAACTTTACTAAAACTATTATTAATTTCATGACAATAATATTTTGAATAATATTTAGAGAAAATATTTTTATTAATTTTGACATTTAGTTCATTAAATTATTAATCTAGTTAGTAGCTAATATATTACGTTATTTACTTTTGATCAGTAATATTTTATTTATACGTTATGCTCTTAATACATTCCATGTAGTTGGAGCATAAAATTCAAATTCTTGGCCCCAAAACCACATAAGGTTGCATATGCCTGCTGTCTACTTAAATCTATATCAAGAACATAACTTCATAATTATAAAATTATCTGTATTGTAGTATTGTATCATAATAATCTATAGCTTAAAGTCATCTACATATTTTTTCAAATTTTATTTAAACCATAAAAACTTGGATCTATTAGGGACAGTCTCTGTGAGTATTATATTTTCTTAAACTGAGAAGTGAAATTTTCTGCTAATTTAATTTTGAAATTCGGCTGGTCTGGTATATTTTAATCTATATGGATATCAGTTTATTGCAATCTAAACTGTAATCTGTAGGATCAGACTACAAGATTTCTCGCTTCCATGAAAAAAATTTCTTATCCCTGATAAAAGTACATAAAACATTCATCTTTTAACATCTTACTCAAAATACAATAAATGCATCGAGGATACACAATATATTTACGAATATTTCAGAAACACTTTTCGTACGAATGCGAGATCAGTTTTAATTACCAACATTTCAAGGATACGTAATGCAGAGCACATTGTAATAAGACAAATGAGAAATACTCTTATGCCCAGTAGCTGTTTCTGTTCAGGATGTAGGAGTGACATGATGTAGGTGATAAGAATGCAGTAGAAAATTCCTCCTAGAAATAGTGACAGTGCTCCAATAAGATGAGGGATGATAGTTATACTCATCTAGAAAGAGAAAAATCACTGAAGATGTGAACAAAGATTAACATTCTTTCCGAAAATGCACGTTAGAACTGCATAAATTTCACTAAAAATCTCTGGTGTAACTTCCAGTAAGATCATAATCAACAGCTTTTAAAAACTTTAAATACAAAGTTTAAAACAACTCAGTTTTCTACAAACCACATGAAAATCACAAATGAATAGTTCTTAACTGAGTGTATATACACAGTATAGTATATCCAAAATAATATATACCGTACTTAACATAAGGCTTAAAAGTTTCTTGTTTTGACAGTTCTTTAATTAGTGGTTTTATAAAATACTGGTGTAGCTACACATATAAACCTTGAAGTTATTATTATGTTTTGTGAAAATTAAAATTCACACTAAATGTCATGCATTTCTAAAATTTTAGTACATCTAAGACAAACACTACTTTTTATATTACCAACGAGTCTGGTTGTTTCTAGGATCTAGCTACCTTAAAGGATTGCCTTGAGGGATGATTTTCTAAGAGAAATTATGTGGTATTAGTTTCATGCAAAAGGAAATCCACCATAGGCTTAATTGGATTGTTAGAGGGTAGTAGAAGTTTCGTTTGTGAACTGTCGTATTGAAATTTATTAGTTATTGCAAAATATTTCCTCTGAACACTCTATGAACAAGAAAAGACTTTCGATTTATAGGCGAGTATGTATTTTTATGTTTAAATTAACACGTTGAGGGCGGCGCCGGTCCCTAGGGACCGGCAGTGAACTTTCCGTGTGGCCGGCGTCGGTCCCTGGGGGACCGATACTGGAATTTACTGGATAGTATTAAAGTTAAAAAATAAATATAGTCTCAATGAAATGTGATCAAATTTAGTTTTAATTAAATGTCTTGAAACATTCTAAACAAAAATACGGCTTAGCTCGCTGCCGGCTGAACGGAAAGGACAAATTCGGCGCCCAACGTGTTAACCATTTATCTTAGTATTTTGCTTATATTATCACTCTTACTTTCGTTGTCTTCACAAGGATGCAAATTATTTAATGAATATAAGAATAAAGTTTTGGATGCTAATGGCAACGACCGCTGACATTTTGCTCAGCTTCTAAATTTACTCGAACTTCACTTTGCTGACTGTTTTTGCTCGTGTCAGTCGAGCGCCTTAACCAAGACTTACAGGTGAACTTTCTCTTGTAAACCTCGCCTTTTAATTACTTAAGTTTTATGTTAACTATTGCATAATGTTAATCTTGCAAACAACGGAACCTTTTGTTATTACAAGAGCTGAAGATGTAATAATAAAGTTTGCTATAAACATTTTCCGAACTGGTGTTACTTTGCCGAAAAATTAAGACGGGGCAATAAGTGGTCCTGGCTGTTTTCATGGAGCCAAAGAGAACATGTTAGGTATTTAGGCTCCATTCCATTTCTCTGGATTTTTAACCATAATTTCATCCAAGGAAGAATGCATTCTCCTTTATTTAAATCGCCTTCGTGAGCTTTGGCATAAGTAAAGAAATATGGTTTCCACTGCTAGGAAACCCTTAGAAGTTAATAAGATAAAGAATACTGGCAATCAGTCTCATTTCAATATCCTGAGGCTAAAAGGTCAATCTGCATGAGACTTTTTTTGTTATCCTATGCATCACTCTTAACCGGTTAAACAATCAACTGCCTTCACCTGTCAATGTCTGAACAGTCTTAAACAGTCGGCAGCATGACATATCCTCTCCTGTGCATAACACCCATAAAATCACTTTCTGTAAACTGTAGAGATTTAGTTTGCTTAGACGATAACCAGATCCAGAACTCAGAACTTTCGTTTTGCACAGAAAGCTCTAACCACTAAGCCATCAAACTCGTTGGGCTATACTGCCTTGAATTCTGTTCTAATCGAAGTGGAGGCACACTTTGCGTATTTAGGTGAAGGGCGAAGTTAATTATGTCGGTTTTGATTTATATAGACATTCACTTAGCATTCAGTCAAATCACAACAGCCCACCAGCGGACGAGCGGTAAACACTGGTGAACACTGGTAGTTCGGTCGGGGTTCGAATCCCGCGAATGGGCTGGCTTCATGGGTGTTTTCGTGGTTTTCCCCATGTGTAACGTGTATATGAGTTAGTTTCCCTTAGAAAGTCCTCCACGAAGGCATCCCTCCTCTTAGGCAGATAGCCCTAGTGTGCTTTGCCATAATTAAATACACCATCACACCATCAAATCACAACAAATTTCATTTAGTTGATGAATTCTTTTCATTAAAATTTCAGTAAGAACTTGCTCTAACGTAGTTTTTGTATCGAAAATTTACCTCATTTTTTAAGTAATCATATTTGTATTTTTTCGTTGTTTTTGGAAAATAAGCAAATACGCTTGAAAAGTAACATTTGCGAAAGTGGTGATGTTGATTTATTTCTATCGTAAGGAAAATATCAGAGTTCATATAATCGTTTTAGAAAAAAATGCTGAAAGAAAGTATGTGAATAGTATGGTAGAAATAGATAAGAAATGCAAGTTCTATGGAATATGCTAAAAAACATTTATTTTGTATGATAGATTTCTTAACCTGAGTATAACAACTTTTCCTCTTTGGAGAGGTAAAATCACAAATGGGAAATTAGAATAAAATAGAAAAAATTGTGCCTTGATTATGATTTATTATTGTGCCTTGATTTATTATTGTGAATTGTGCCTTGATTATGATTATGATTAATGATTTAAATGCATTAAAAGTTTTAAATAGTAAATTTTCACTTGCTGTGTCATTTTCTTGTATGCAGTTATGCATTGCTGCTTTTGTTATATGCATTGCTACTTTTCTAATGTGCATATTATCAAAAAGTAATACGTATTAATCCTTTGCTACAAAGGGGTAAAGACCATTCAGTGACTTGGGCGGCTGTAGTCATGAAATGCTCGCCCTGATCTGGACTCTTGTCGGATGGACTGGCTAACTGCATGAAAAAATGAATATTATTAGGACCTTTATGGTGCTAGAAGCGTGAAAAATTGACATTCTTCCCTGAAATCGAATTCAATTCTTTACAATTGCTAATTAAATGAGCTCAGTGCTACACCGCGAGGACACATAGGAAGAATGTCTTCAGTTCATTAGATCAACGCCTATCCACAAAGAGGGGAAGACAAGACCAAATTTAGTCTGCTAGATGAAGATGTTGATGGTCAAGGTGAGATCAAATTTTTAATTCAAGTTTTAGTCCGTTTGAGGACTTTTATGCTTTTTCTTAGCAGTGAATGGGACAAATCAGGGATGCCATCGATTGGAAACGAACACGAGGCTTTCCATTTGATAGTTGGATGTATTGGTCATTACACTACAGTGTATTACTTCATGTTAATTAACCCATTTTCTTATACTTTCAAACTATACTATCACTTCTCCTTTTCATTATCTTTCACTAGGATATAAAAATAAGTTAAAGTATTTAAAGCGTAATTCTTGAAAGTCTTAGATACAGAGCTTTTGGCAGCAACTTTCTCAGTAATATTCTTCTCTCGCCCAACTCTGCTGCTTTAGTTATTTAGCATTATCCACTTTTCTAACCGCATTTTTCCAACCGAATTTAAATCGCACACTTAGATTTTGAGCTTATTAGTGCATTTGCATTGTAATCTCCTGCAAAGAATCTATGTAAAACTTAACTTCACCTTTCTGTTAGTTGATATCCCGCAGGTAGGCAGAGTTAAGTGCAATCTAAGTCGTACATTTTGTTCCATTTAGTTTATATTTAAATCTTCTTTGGACTCAATTGTAATTACAAAGACAGAGCTATAACTCGCTTGTCTGTCTAACTAGGGTCTAAGGGCTTTCAGTTAATTTCAGATAGCAAACCTATGACATGGGAGAAATGTCTTTAATTCCTTACAAGGTTTCCCTAATTTTCTTCACGGATAATGTGAATATAGGACAGCTTCACTTAGAAAATCATGAACAAAGGCGTTCTTACTTATAGGCAGATAGGTACTTCCATAATAAAATGAGCACTACTTCTAGCCTTAGTAGGGGCGAAAGCCTAAAATGACATTATAAAAAAAAACTTATAGGCAGTTTAATCCTGGTGGGTTTTGCCGTAATTAGTCAATTCGATTAAAAAAGATTATGCTTCAGAAAAAGGAAATTAGACGAAACTGGTATATCGGACAAATATCTCTACAATAAATACATATTTTCAGAAATAAATTTCATTAATTAATCAGATTATAACATACGTATAAAAGGATTTGAATGTTTTGCATGTATTTATAAAAGCAAGCATTCAATTTAACATAAACTGAATACTTACTTTAACGCAAACATTAAAAATAAATATTGATCAATAGGGGATTTCGGCTGGTGAGAATAAAACAACCATTTTCAGGATAACCTAGTTTTTAAATTAAAATGATTGAAACATTTGTATATAATTTTGCGAAAATTAAAAGCGTTTAAATTATAAAATGTTTACCCAGTTTTCGGAAGCCCTGTAGAAGTCAATTGGGAATCCTGCCACAAGGATCATACCTAGAATACCGAGATGACCAGGGATAAGTGAGACTTTATTGAGCAAAGATGTGGTATGGCGAGCCCACTGATCATCTAGTCTCTTCTTTTGAATTCGAACTCCCATGTGCAGCAAATTGAGACCTATAAAGGCTGTGAAAAAGCAATTTGTTATCAATAAAATAATTTGAGATTGAAAACTAGTTGAAGATGCAATGCTGCTGATTTTGTTTAATTTTTGTAAGGCTTTGTCTAATAGTTAACATTTTAGTTCATTCAATTTTTCTGTCTGCTTCTTAATTTCCGAAATAACCATTTTTTCCCTTATAGTAGTGCAGGATTAGTACCAAAGTTCTGTGTTGTTGACTATGAACGTCAACTACCTCAGTAATGAGTAATGACCATTGTTCATTAACGCAATTAAATCGCTGCATCTGGGTATCAGGTAGAAGAATGAGGACTGAAGTGTATATCTACAGAATATTGCACATATGCTGGATCAGATGAGCTGACCATTTTTAAAAACAGTTGATCCTCCTAAAAATTTTATTACAATAGTAGAGCTCTATGTGGATGGGAACTGTCTGATTATATGAAAGGATGCAACTCAGTATAATTTTCATATCATATATAGCATTCCTTTATTATTTTTGTGATCACATTCGGTGAAAACGGAGCATTTATTCGTATTTAGGTGAGTTTTGCTAATTTTTTTATTGTTCCTGAATTAACTGTAACCAGCATATGCTAAAACGGTATGCCTTCTGCCTCAAATTGCTACTTTACAAGTAGAAATATACGTTCAGTATTTTTTATACTTTTTTTTTTAATTTTCAGCGGCCTTTATAATAAATTTCGATATGCAGTTGGACTGATTAGGGATCAAAAATTTATTTTACTTACACCATTATTTATTTAAGCCTTTTTTTAGAATATATAGGCACATTATACAGTTCTGGTTGATTCTGAAGCTTAAAATCCCCTATTCTTCACCTCCATGCACGCACTAGATTTTGGCGTTAGATTTAGTACCATCTTCTGGTCATAAATTTCTGATAAATGTAAAATGTATTCCTGATTATTTGAACCTGTTTATGTTTCATATATTATACTTAAATTAGATGAAGAACACCGTGTCATCTTTAAATTCTATATTTCCCGGAGATTTTTAAAGCGAAAGCTTATGGACAATTGAAATCTTATATGAAAGTTATCAGTTTTTCTTTAACGCTATGTTTTTTTAACAACTTAAAACATGAAAGATAAAATGATCTTACGTTATACGGATACTAAAGCAAACTTTCGTTGCACTGTTAGAGTATTAAAAAACAAAGTACGATAATGACTTGCATCTTTTCGGTTTAATATTTCCATGTTTGTCCAAAATTAGCAAAGAACTGAGATTCATTTCTTTTCCAAGGCTTAACTTCAGGCAGAGCCCAGAACATCGACCTTTCCCAGACTTCAGAGGATGACATCGACCTTCTCAGACTTCTAACCTTTCCATAGTGAAATCGTAATTCAAGCTAGAATCCCAAATAAGATGAGCTCTAGTATTTTAATTTATTATTCAACTGTTTTCTCATTAATTTGGCTTAATGTAATTTGACTTAAAGCGCGATGAATGTTTTACTATCAATTTAATTTTATTTTGTTTTAATTACTCATTTTTATTATTTTATTTATCTATTTTTTAACCTTCCCAACGGCCTACTATAGAGATCCGGCCCATCTAATTTTAGAAATTAAGCTTTTTTTTTTCCTTTATGTTTCAAGTGCATTTTCAAATACAGGTGACGAAGGACGGATACATCCTGGTGTCTTAACGAAGGTAAGTGGTATACGCCCTCTATTATCTTGAACCGGTAGCTCCTGAGTCCCAGTTTTCAAATACAGCATGCCCAAAGAGATTGTAAGAATTTCAGTGATATTAAGAGTAAATCCCTTCCTTATTATCAGTTAGTGAGTAATTTTCCTCTCAAGTCCAGTTATTTTAACAAGCCTGAAGATTACTGGAGGAGTTAAAGCAATAAGGATCAGGGCAATATTCACAAATTTGGCAGGATTAGTTTTGAAGTTTGAAATATAGTGCGCTTTTTTTCAGCTGCAGAAGTTAAATTTCTGCATCATTTGCACTTCTGCAGCTGAAAAGAAGGCTCTGTATTTAAACTTTTGAAACTAGACTTTATGAACATTACGCTGATTCTTGTTGCTTTAACTCTTCCAATAATCGTTATTCGGCTTGTTATCTTAACTTAAACCTTAAGATGCTTAACTGAAATTCGCTTTACCTATGGCAAAAAGTTTAAAACGTCTGATGCAGTGTAAATTGTTTATAAATTATGTTAGATCAAAATTAAGAAATCATCTAAAATTTAATTATATCTGTGACATTCTTGTGTCTGTACACTAAAACTTTGCTTGATAGGTGAAGGAGTATTTGAATCTGAAAATTCATTTCAAGCATTCTAAATTGTTGTACGTGTATTAGATACTGACTATTTGAAATTACCTAAAATTAATGCATTAAGGTAATATTAACTTTTAGCTGTTATAAATACTAATTTATGAATGTTCTTACCCAGCAGGCAAGAAGTGACAATAAGCAATGTAAATACTCCACTTTGAGGAGGGCTGCCGGCAGCCTGGCTAAAAAAAAGTACAAGAAATATTTCAATTATTCTGAGCAAGGGATTCTTTGAGGCAAAGCAAAAGTTAATGCATTCGATACACCCTTAATTGTTTATTAGTAAATAATATTTAATTAGTTTAAATGATTATTAGTAAGCAAGTTAATCACTATAAATGCCTTTAAATAAATAATAATTAAATTGTAGGGTTTCCCTTAGTTCAACTAACCAATTATTCAAATTTTTGTTATCTTTCCTGATTTCCTCAACTTTCCCTCGCATTTCTTTGTCAGGATGCTAATTTAAAGTTAAGTGAAGTGAGTATTTAAACGGGTGAATCTTGGAGTTTATTCAGAGCATTAGGCGCTCAATCCCGGAACGAATGCTATTGTTTACTGGAAGAGTTCAAGATTTGTAGGTATGGTACGTAAAAGTAGGGATGAGCTAAGAGGAAAAAGGAAAAGGGATTTTGAGTATAGGGAATTTCAGTCGTTCCGGGATTGAGCGCCTACTATGAACGGACTCCTGCTTTGTTAAGGTAGCTAGCGTTTCGTTAGTAAGTGTATTATTTATTATTCTTATTGATTGTCTGCTCCTTTTTTGTTAATTTTGAAAATTATTTGTAAATTTACACATTTTAGTTTTTTTTATAAAACACTAAATAAGAAAATATTTATTATGAAAATTTTTATTAATTCTGATTATTTCATAATATAAATTTTGTTTGACACTTCTGTAATAATGCAAATTCATTAATATTCATTTAGAATCAATAAATTCATTTAGAATCAATGCATTTGAAAAATCAAATTTGAAAGACCTTTTGATTACCAATGACTGAATGGTCTAACTCATTAAAAGACCTCTTACAGTTAATTTTCAGAATGTGTAAACTCTAAATTTGTAACATATCTAAATCAACAACTGAAAGCAGTGCACAGGATTGATGTTAAATAATTTTGGTTAATTAAGTATAACAAAGTACTGTTAACTTTCTAACTGGATTTTATTCCAGGAAACAAATTTATTCTGTGTAAACAGAATTTGTTCTTTCACAAGTGAATATAAAACTCTTTTCGTATGAAGAAAGGTCTTTTAAAGCTCCATCAAAATACATCATACTAAAATACATTACTTATTTTGTGTACCAGATAAAAGAAAAGTTAAGTAATTATGTTTTGTTGCTATCATATTAGAGGTAAATGCTATAAATATCAAAAATTTACAGTTATAATTTTCTACAATACCTTAAGTAAATAAAATCTTTACAGTTACGTATTGTAACTTCATGTAATACTCGGTTACTTTACCGTAATAAGAGTTCTAATAAATATTAAATTTCGTTGGAATAAACAAATTATGTAATTTCGCCAAAATGTTATGCCTTTAAGCAAATTTTAAATAAGCATACAATTTTACATTGCAAATACGTATTTCTCTATGAAGTATTTTTTTTTGTTTCATAAATTTGATAAAAATTAATCCGTCCTTAAACAAAATGTTCGAATAAAGCATGGAGCATAAAAACAAGCGGCGTAAACTCCTTCCACTGTTCGGGAATAAGTCAGCGAGCATGAAACTACTTCCACGGTTCGGGAATAAGTCAGCGAGCATATACCTTTATCCCCAGGTATCCCACTGCAAAGCCATTCCACGATCTAATTAATTATTTCCGTTGGAAACCATTCCGAAACCTTTCCTTTCTATTCCTCTCACCTGCGTATATTGAACTCGCCCAGCTAACAATAGCAGACGTTCCGAGATTGACGGTCTAGTATTCAGAGCGCGTTTTCGCTAGCTAGCGCATGTTTCGTTTCTGACCTTTGTTACGCGGAGTTACTGATACACCTTTTGGCCATTTAAATAATTATCACGTCTGTTAGTTTGTAGAGTCAACCTAGTTTAGGCTGTAACTTAAATTCTAGTCCAGAATTACTCTTTTTAGACTTGAACTGATTTGTGTAACAACGCTTAAGTTCACCTCAAGTTGTCGGTGTTATTGTAAAGCATAAAGTGCGTGTCTTTCTGTTCATAGTTGAAAATAATAAAGGGTTATTTTCACCCTTCTTCTTTCACTCCTGTGCGAGAAGTCGCCGGGTTCATTAGTAGGATCTAGATTAGTTTATGTAGCAAAAGAGAAGTTAGAGCCTATAACTTTTAAGTAATTACTCTTCGATTTCTTGTATTATGAGATACGGTTGGTTTTGTTTTGTTCCTATCTTCTTATCGTCGTCATTAGAAATAAAAGGGATATCGAAAAAGAGCAAAAACTGTTAACAAAACATGTAATTAAACTTTTAAGTACTTTCCGATCAGCTGAAAAATATTAAATCATGTGCACAAATTTTCTATATGTAAAAAATCAAGTTTTGTGTTATTATTATTGTGAATTTTATATATATCTCTATCATACTGACAAAGAGTGAAAACGGAATGAAAAATAGATTTCTTAAATTCAGTACTATTCTTTTGCAACCTTCGTAAGTTATCCAGTCAGTGACTTAAAATAAACATTGAACATCATATTGAAGCTTATGCAATGTTAATCATTCATGACAATTAAGAGCACTTGCAATACCCCTGAAGATTTTATTGCATTTACTTAGTCTGCTGATGTTGTTCCTAAGAAATACTTGTTCGGAATAAACTAAGCAAGATAAGAATTATTGCTTTTGTAGTTAAACATTCAGCTCTAATGAGTCAGAAGTCATGCTGCTGAAATTCATGATAAACTTAAAAAGCGAAATTTGCCTTTACTTTCATCGAATATACAAAAATAAAAAAAGTGTTTTGAAGAAAATCGGAACTTTAAACGTGTGAATTATTTGGGAAATTTGCAAAAATTTACGGCGTAATCAGTGAAATGAACGAGAGGACTAGCTGCGTGATAAAAACCATATTCATTTCTTCGGAAGGTGATTAAAGACGAAGGCATGAAATCAACAAAGTATTAACACATTCGTTTTCTACAAAAAAATTTCTTCTGTTGAAGGTACAAAAAGACAGGAAGTTGTGAAAGTGCTAACACATTTTCTTATCTGCAACAAAATTTCTTTGGCAAGTCGGAAAATAAGAAGACATGCACTTACCAATGCTAAATCATTGATTTTTTACAGCAAATTTCTTCGGCAGGTGTTTAAAGAAGGAAACGCGAACTACTATAACATGTTTCTTTCTAAGTTTGTTCGGAAGTAAAAAAAAAGCAAATCGGAAATTCGCAAAAAGAGTTAAATACATTCGCTCTCTACAATAGAAGGAAAGTAAACAACGAATACCTACTGCTAAGAATAATTATTTGTGGTTCAGTATTTCATTATAGATGGTAACAGACCAGAACCAGAGCTTACGAGAACTTACCAGAACATTATTTTGTAATGCGTTTCCCAGTTGACTTGCATTCTTTTACTACCTGCTAAAATAACGAATAAGTCTCCCGAAACTGGTCCAGTTGTTCGTTTAAAGATTATACCAAAATATTGGTAGTTTAATTGATTTTTTTTCTTTCGGTACGGCTTTTTTAACAATGTGAGCTGTTCCACTAAAAGCCAGAAAAAGTAATAATTAAAAAAATAAATAAAACCTAAAATAATTCTTTGCTACACCGGATCATTTTCAGTCTTTTTGTGTCGCACTTATTTTAAATATAGTCAAGCAACTGAGTACCAAGAGGTGCAAATGTTAAAGATTATTATAAGTATTAGCGGAAATTTGTCTGAACCACGAAAATGGACCAAATCGTTTTCATAATTTATTTGTACAGAATATTTGGCTTTCAGGAGTGAGAAAAGTAAAAAATTAGTTATGCTGTCTCTAGGATTAGAACAACGCATCTTCTAACGGTAACTGGATGTCCTAGCAACTTGCCCACAAAAGTATTCCGAAACTGAGGCTTATGATAAGTTTCTATATTCTTCTTTCCACTTAAAGGACAACTGGGAAGAGGCACAACATTCAGTCTACCAAATCAGGACGGTAAGGATTTGTCCACCACGCTTTTAGTTCACCCACTACTGTGGAGATTATTAATCTTTTCGGAGCAGGAAACGTGAAAAGTCAAATGTGTCTTTGCCTGAATTTGAACTAGAGATTTTCCATTGCTAGCTGGATGTGTTAACCACTTACACTACAAAAATAGATACGGTAAAATTCTTCAATTAATTTTTATACTTAAATTCAATACAAATGCACTAAATAATAAAGTAGACGAAGTTAATTGCAAAGTATTCCAATAAAGATATTTAACTTTATCATCCTATAACCACTCTAAAGTGGTTTCAAAATATTCAGAGAAATTTGTCCCTTCTCAGGGCGGGATCTACGAATAGCACAGTCCCAACTGTTTTTGAATGTACGTGAGAAACGTTGTTATTGCGAAGTACTTAAATTTTATGGCCCATAACTGCGGCAATTGCTACTTCTTTGACAATTTATGATTTCATTTGAATTAAATTCCCCGTTTTTATGAATTCTGTACCCACGGTTAGAGGGGGTTAATCCTTGTTTTTACTAGTTAGATAATGTCAGCAATATTCTTTCCTTGGAAAATAATTACATTTTATCTCCATTTTTCAAAGCGTTCCTTCGGCAGCTAATTAAGCTTTATTTCAATCAGTTACTAGAATTCGCATAGATGTTGTTAAACGAAATAAAGTTTACTGTGTAAAATAATCGAAATTTCATTTTGGATGCTTTTAAGATTTAGTTTTTTTTTTATTAACTCTGTATTTTTAAGTTTCTTGATCCCGCTTAATTTAATTTTTCTCACATCACTATTCTATGAGGTATGTAAATTTCGCTAGAATAATTAAGATCAAAACAGCAGTTAGCTAACATTACGGCAAATTCAATACACTAGGCCAACGTGAACTACTGAACGGTATACAATAGTCGCGGGAGACTCGCTGACTTGAGTGTGCGGCATGTACATGAGGCTAGGAAAGTTCATCTGTGTTCGGGAAACTTGCAATCGAGAAGTTGACGCCAGATAAGCAAGCCATTAAAAGATACGAACGAGATGATATGCTCTGACATTGCAAAAGTAATATATTCCCCAGTTAGATCCCTTTCTTCAATTTAAAGTAACAATTTCACTACTAGCCACAGAGGTTACCAGAGATGTTTGATCTCGAATCTCAGTGTTAGCCATCTCTTTTCTCAACGTCTTTAATTAAATACGCTTGATTTCAGGAGATCATCGACCATACACTCCGTAATTTCTTTGAGTCTTCAGCTATAGCGAATCAGGTGACTTGAATGGCAACAGAAAAATTTAAATGGCAGGATCAATTCTATTTGCAAAGTTTACCAAATAGAGTAAGTTTATAGAAAGCTTTGGGAACTCTCAGCCAGAGAGGACTATCAAATTTAACAAACTACAAAAATCTCTGACTTATCATAATGAGCGCAAGCTTTGAAATACCATAGGCTTACATTATTGTTTCAAGCTCGATTGTTAATTTATGTTTTCAATATTATTAGTAGTGTTGTTAATTACTACTAAGAATTTCGTAGATTATTAATGAATATGTTAGAGTTAAATGTTGCATTTGTTCTATAGGGTGTGTCGAACGGTTGTTTATAAACTTTACGTGCTGGTTTGTCAGACCATAACGAGTAATTTTTGTATAGGAAGTTGTATCCGAAAGTCAAATCGTACAGTGCTACAGCAACGTGTTTGACAAGGTTGCAGAAAAGATTCAAAATTTCTTCCATCCACCGCATTGCATGATTCACGGGGGTCGATGCATGGATTCATGTGCTCGTTCAAATTGGCCAGGTATGTCACTGACACGTACCACCACTTCCCCGATCCTGGCGACGAAGTCGATGTCAGATATTAGGCGTGCCTCGTACACCAGAGACTTCATATATCCCTACAAGAAGAAATCTATGGGGATTAAATTAGGAGATCGTGGTGGCTATGTGATTGATCTACCCCTGCCAATCCAGGGATGACTAAACTCCTATTGTCTTAATCTCACACATTAATGAAATGTGCGGGCATTCCATTATGTTGAAACCAGAGCTATCGGCGTGAAGCTGCTGGAACGACATGCATCAAATTTGGTAACACCTCCTCCAAAAAATTGCGTTGAGGCAGTATATAAGCACCAATTAAAAAGTCGCCGATATTACCAGCCCGCAAGTTTATGGTTAAGCAGTGTAGGTTTGTATGGGCACCTGCACTCCTGGTATTGTGAGGCCTGTAAGTTTTGCGAGTTCAGAACACCGTCCCATGGAAAAGTAGCTTCATCTATAAACAGAAACCACGATGGAAATTCTGGCTGCGTGTGTTACGTTCATGCAAATACCAACGTACGAATGCTAATAAAAACCGATTTTGCTCAATTCCTGTAGTCTTTGGATGCGTACTGATGTAGCATGTCCTCGTGCAGTATGCGGATAACGCTGAAGCAAGGCGCACCCAAGTCGCTTTCGATTGCTCTGATACTTCTCACGTATCACAGTTTCTTTGACTGCAAGTGTGCGTGTACAGCTTTTTTGACCGATGTGACTGTTTACTTGGAAAGTTCTAGCCTCACTGAATTTGCAGTGGTGTTGTCTAAACAATGGATGACTTGATAGATGTCTGTTTGGGAAGCCCTCTCAGTTCATGCACCTCGCGGTTTGCCCATTTCTATCCACGGCTCTATAAACGTAATGCATATTAACTAATTCCTTAGTCCTACAACGATTGCATTCTCCTGTAACATCCTTGCCGAAATGATTCCGTTGTATGATGCTGCGAACATCGCTCTGTACCGGCGGATGGTCACGGTTTCAGGTACAACTTCTTATCTAAATCTTGTTCATCATGTTATTATAAACGACCTTTTGGGATACCGTATAGATAAGAATATGCAACTAATTCAGCTCATGCAACTAAATCACCAGACACCATAAGTGAATTATAATTAAATAGGTTTCATTCTAAAATAAGTAAATGAACCCTTTCATCCCGGCAGTTGAAGGAGTAAATAGATTAGTTAAATCTGGATATTTATAATTTAATTAAAAAGTTACTTTAAGTTATTTATATCTACATCCATGCTTGAAAGCATTGTTTGTGACCTCCAGCAGCAGCCGAACTTTTATATTGTAACTAGTAAGGAGTGGTACTTTAATGGTGTTTTAGCTAAAACATTTCGGTGTTATTTTCTTTGAAACAATTACTGTCTTAAATATATGTAGAGGTGGGAACTCAGCTTAGCAAGTTGCGGATTTGCCAGACTAATAGATCTTTACATATTGAAACGAACCTTAGATGAATAAATAATAATTATCAGCACAACTTATAAGGTATTTCTCCCGCCTTCTTAGGGTGCCTTCGGGGTGTAGTTGTCAGCACGCTCGACGCGTATTCGAAAGGTGCGCGGTTAGAGTCCCAGCGAGGGCATTGCTCATTTTTCATATACCCTGCTTTCAAAAAAAAAAAGGTCTCCAAAAAAATATAAACTAAAAAATTATATTGCACTGCTAACCAAACTGCAATAAATGCATCAGTTTTTAACAACAAATGCAAACATTTTTTAACAAATTTTAAGCTAATTTCTGATACACTATACTAAAATTCTAGATTAAATTTATGAATGTAATGTTAATTTTAATTAGTACGTAATGCTGGCCCAATACCTATCATAATATAAATTCAGACAGTTTTCACTTAATTATTTGCCTAATTTTAAATGTGGTTAATGCGTACATCATATGTTAACAATAAAACTACACTTACCTTACGAAGGGTAAGAAAGGATTGAGAGTTCCTCGGCCAAGAACAATTAAATATGGCACAAAAATGGCAGATAGCATTGCAAAACACATTGCCATCGGTAGCCAGCTACCTCCTATGAATTTATACTCCGTATGGAACTTGGTTGAGAATACTTGAACTGGAAGGAAATATATAAGCATGCAAGTTTCAAAACAATATGCGTTATTGTAAGTGTATGCATATATATTGTTATTTTGTAAAGTTTATAATAAGTTCCTTAAACCCTGATTACACGTAATCTAAACCTTAGATAACTTTCCTAGATTACCAGCTGAATTCTTTTCTTGTCTTTATCTTGGAATCTAATAACACACAGTGATTATAATTAACGTTGGAGCAACTAAAACATTTATTCCTACTTCAGCCCTAAGTTATGAAAACTAAAATGTTTAACAGAAACTTTACATCCCCTTCTTGTGCGTTGATAATGCAAGAGTATTTCAATTATTTACAAAGCCAAAAATATAAAATTAGGGGCTAACAACCTGGCTGCTACCTTAACGCGTCTTCGAATAACAAGCAAAATCGAAAGACAGAACAATTAATGCAACACTCTGAGAGGTAAAACTTAAGGGCTACAGCTCTTCTGAAGCTGTTAATACTTTTTTCATGTAGATTACATTCTCCCTCGTTATTTAAGTTATTAATTTACATTTCTGATAGAGTTGAGGAAAAGCAAAAGTGCAGGAAAGACTGAGTATAAAAAATGTGTAAATTAATAATCCAAATAATGTATAATTAATAAACCATACATCCAAACCAATTGCTTCTAATTTTCCTCTCCTCCTGTCTGCTTCTGATTTCGTACCTACAAACAACCACATTCCAGAAGAAGATATAAATTATATGAGGTTAAAAATAGATTAAAGCAAATTTAAAACATACAAGCATTAATCGTAACTGATACTTGATAGGATTCACTTGACTGAACATAAATCTCGTTGTTTCATCCGCACCTTTGCTACCAGCCTTAGCCTGGGCTTAGAATTTGGTGAAGGCTATTTTTTGAGTTATAATATTTTATTGAAAGGTAGAAAGGTTTGAGATGCTTTGTCAAAATCAAGCTGACTTTGTGTGTTAGAAAATTCGTGTTAAATTGGTATTGTGACCTATAAGCTGCAGCTATTAATTTTCTGCTGAGTTATTTAATTTCAATTTAGACTGAATAAACTTCACGTGACTATTTATTCAGTTGCGTCTGTATTTAAGTATTTAGTTGGTGACAATCGACCATTTTTATATGGCCTTGAATAGCAAACCGCCATGTGAAATTACAGAGCAAGAAAACTTAACTAGCAGGTTTAGTTTTCATTTCACTTATTCAATATCTTCATCGTGAAAGATTTTTTCTCATTTTTTTGCACGTTTTCATACTATAATGGTTTAATGTTTTTTTAAATAATTTATTTCTCACCTTTTCTACCACTCGTTTACTTCCATTCATTCTCCAATAAGTAGTTAAATAGAAAGAAGCCCCGTTATAAGGCATTTTTTAAATATACTTTAATTCATCTATGCTTTAAATTTCTCTCATAAGAAGCAAATAAATTTCGTTATAAAGAAAATGATTAGAGATATAATGTACTCGATAATTTAAAAGTAACGGAAAAATAAATATTCAATATAATAGACGATACGTGTTTTCATAGAAACCCACAGAAAGACATGGAATGATTTTTAATAATGAAAGATTTTTATTGTTAGAAGAGTTAAAGTTTTCATTTATAGGTTTTACTTCAATTGTTTCACAAGTTCTGAACTTGGCTTGCATTAATAGTTTTCGACGTGACGGCGGCGATTCACGATAATGGCCGTCCAACGCGGCATGATATAGCATCTGAGATATTCAGCTTATAAAGTAATTTCTCCCTGCTTTCTGCATGCCTTCATGGTGTAACTATAGCACATTCAGTGCGTATTCAAGAGGTCCAGGCACCAGTCCCGGCGAGGCCATTCCTCATTTTTACTTCTCCAGCATCAAAATAAGTCTAATGACACTACAGTGGCGCTCGAACTAAAAAACAAGGTGGTAGATGATACTTCTTCACTACCAGGATTTGCAGATTGGGTCCCCTAATCCCCAGTCGTCCTTTAAAAGGGGTAGTATATAAGGTATTTTCTCCCTGCTTTCTGTATGACTTCGTGGTGTAACTGTAGCACACTCAGCGCGTATTCGAGAGGTCCAGGTTCGAGTCCCAGTGAGGGCATGGCTCATTTGTCTTGTCTCCTTCTTCAAAAAAGTCTTAATGACTCTACAAGCTGTAATTCCCGTTACCTGATGGTGAATAACTTCTTTCAATAGAATCAGCAACTTTGGCCAACCTCTGCATAGCAGAGACTTCATGTAAATGAAATACAAAGCATTCCATATCCTTTATGTGAAAATTCGATGATATATAAGAGAAAGAATTTACTGATTTAAATTCGTTTTTGATATGCATTGATAGCGTTTCAAAAAGTCATTGATCAAAGTGTTAATCTGAATATTTTTTGCTTGGATTTAGGACGAAAGTACAAAAGTTAATTAATTAACTTTTAAAATTAAATTAAAAATTTTGGCAATTAAGGCTTCGGAGAGTTATAGGCAAAACCGCATTCGTTATATACTCTTCAGCTGGTCTTGCGAAATTATTAATTTCCAAGCGGAAGCGAGTCATGAGAACATGAAAAATCCGCAATGCCTTCACAGGAGTGAAATCATGGATTTTCCAGTTACTAGCGAAGCCTCGTAGTCACTTGCACACGAGAGCACTCATGGGAGCATTCGATGATTACGTACATTCTTCTCACTTAAAAGACAACTGGGGAAAGACACGAGATCAGTCGACCAAATCCAGGAGATGATGAATTATGGTCTGCCACATTTTTGTAAGGTAGATATTTCTAGAATTTCTATAGCAAGAGTTGTGAAAAAGCACAGCCACAGTTCTTCCAGTTGCTGCAAAGAGGTGCTAGTTCTTTACGAAATAAAAGCACTCATGAGGAAGACTATAATTCCTTAAAAATGCAAGATAAATTTTTATTACAATGTATTTAATAGTTTACGGAGACGATTTATGCTGTTGGGATTGTATAAAATGTTAACGTTTGTGTTTACAAAGCCATTTTTAAATACGGTACTGAAATCACTTTCATAAAATTCACTAACTCTTTCTCGCATGTGTAATGGGGGATATCACATCTAACAACTTTCCCGAGGAAGGAGCTTCTCTTTCTTCTACCAATAAAGAGTTCCTGGCCGAAACATATTTCTCTGGAGCAGATGTCCAAGCTAGCTACGCTAGATATTTTGCAATAGTGATGAAAATGTTTCGTTTAGAGCTGTGTCCCTTGTAGGTTTACCCCAAGCGATTGCTTTCATCGTAAGTCAACTAATCACAGATCCCAAAGCCGAAAATTTTCAGAAATGTTTCTTCTGTCGCACTGTTAAAGGTAGGTGGTAATTGGGATACCGGTTTAATGTAAGTACAGGTTATTTACCTTTAGAAATCTCTCCAGGAAGGCATTCCTTTCCCTATTCAAATTAGCCGCTGATGTACTTAATAATGATTAGATTATAAGGTCCACTTGCTTATCTTCTAAGTGACAGTTGGGGCCCACCAGCGGCCGAGCGGTAAAGACGCTGAACACTGGTAGTTCGGTCCGAGGTTCGAATCCCACGAACGGGCTGGCTGCATGGGCGTTTTCGTGGTTTTCCCCATGTGTAACGCGTATACGAGCCAGTTTCCCTTAGAAAGTCCTCCACGAAAGTCATCCCTCCGTTTAGGCAGATAGCCCTCGTGTGCTTTGCCATAACTGAATAATCCATCCATCTTAAGTGACAGTTGTGCGTGTAGTAAGTTCTGGTATGTAGATAGGTAGGTAACGGAAGACGGGGACGCCTGGTGAATATATTTACAAGTAGTAGAAATTGACTACAGGACTCAGATATTCCTGTTACTTAAAACCGCGTCGAAACTGCTGGCAACAAAGTAAATGCTGTTATGCCAAATAAACCAGCAATAACTCCGGTTGGGAGTAGCCGCCCAACCGGTATAGTAGTTAGCGTTGCTGATTGCCGTGCCGAAGGGCCCGGATTCGAATCCCGGAGAAGGTATGGATGTTTGAAAATGTTTAATAAAAAAGTAGTGAAAACGTTTGTTGTTAAATGTGATCGTTTTCAATATTAACCCTCACGGACTGGAGGAAACGGCGTTCGCTGGAGAAAAGTCCTCATCACCTTTCTTTTTGCTTAAAAAGCAAGATTGATACTGATACTGATACTGAACTCCGGGAGTACAAGCTCACGCAACAGAGGTAACGGCAATAGCCTAACTCTCTCTCTAACTTTCCTTCTAAAACTCAGTATTTAAACTCTTTCTCCCGCAAGGTAGAATTTGCATTCCTTCATTCGCGCTACCAAATTTACATATTCTCGCATTGACAATTAGGGGAATGAAGGCTTATAGGAAAGCTTAAAATTAAACTTTAACTAGTTAGTTAAAATAAATATAAATCCCTATAAGATACCAATTTCAATGTAAATTTGTTTCTAAGGAAAAAGTCAAGGAAGTGAGCCATTTCAGAAAATACTTTTCTCAGGCTAAAATTTTAATGATTATTTCTTAACTAAGATGCTAATGTCATACAATGTTATTAAAAAAATAAACGGTTTTCTTTCTGAAATTTCTAAATTCTGTCAGAGGATTATAGCAGCAACTGTGCAATATTGAGAGACGTTTTAGTAATATTCGGAAGTCGCAAAATGATAAACGCAAGAATGATAAGCCAGCTTGACAATTAATTGTCAGCAAAACTGAGTTTCTGTTTGAAGCTGATTTCTTCCACAGAAATAAATCAACATTTTAAAATAAGATGGCTGCATACTAAAAGCTTCCGTGCGAAAGGTGTTTAAGAAAAAGAAAAAACAAAAATAATAAAAAAAAAGTGGAAGGCCATTACTTACAAAAGAACAATAGAATGAATTAAAAATTAATATACAATTTGAGAAAAACATTTCCAACAAAAGGCTGGCTAAGGTTGAGAAATAAGCATTTCCAGCTATCTTTGTAAATCCAATTACATTAAAAAATAAAAAAAAAAGGTTTACTGAACTTACGTGAATTAAAAAAGTTTTCT